AACAACAGCTCATTAAAGCAAAGTCTAATACTGCCACTCAGGCTCATCTGTGTGTTACAGTACAAGTGAGAACAATAGAGTATATAGTGTATATATATTATAGTAAAAATGGGCATTATGAGCCGAATGTGCAGCTTTAGTATCTGAATCTTCAGCAGCTTATTATGTCGGACACACTGGCTAAACAGTTTTATTGAACAAAATATACAAAGATGTGAAGATATTTCTTGATAATGCATAAAAACACTATATATAATTAAAGATCCTTTCTGAGCACAAATGCAGGAAGAATTTTACTAATTTTAACTTTGTTGTGCACTTTCAGAAACATTTCTCTTAAATCATGTCTCTCTATTGGATTAAAAGAAAACGTGGTTCTTCTATTGTTAATTCATGTTGCATTGATCTTTCAGGACACTTGACAATTTAAGTTTTTATTGGTTTATTATTGAATTGAAATAACCTTACATAAACCCTATTTCAGGCCAGAGAGCACTGCCTGTGCCTCTTGCAGGAAGCATTACACGGCCACCAGGGGGCAGAAGACACATTCAGGTATTTATGCAGACACACGTTTCAAACATCATTCATACATAGTTCATTTTCTGCAGAAATGTCGCTCCATGTTGTCTTTCATGTCTTCTCCCGTCTGTCTCTCAGCTGTGACACCCTGTCTTTAGCGGTGGATATCGAACACGAGGTCTTCAAGAGCTGCAAGTCTTCCAACTTGTACAAAGCTGCTGTCTTAAAGAGGGTAAAATGAGTGATTGTTCTGCCTGTCACATCGTCACTGGTGGAAGATCTTTTCCTGAACCTGTGTCTTGTTTCAAAGGTGTCAGAGATGAAGAAAACAGCAACTGCCTCAACTGGAGGAGAAAAAGGAGAGAGTGATAAGGTTAACAGCAGCGGTGAATCCGGAGAAAGTGAGTCGAAGCTCAAAGAGGACGCACCTTCCTCCTCCTCCTCCTTTTCTGAGGCGCTGCAGGGGTTCACATCTGCCTCTGAGATCTACTCGGTAAGATCTACTCTACTACACCCTTGCTATAGATAGATAGATAGATAGATAGATAGATAGATAGATAGATACTTTATTTATCCCGAGGGAAATTCAAGTTAGTTTACAACCTAGTTTACAAGCAGTTATTGTGGATCCTTAATCCAGATATACACCCTTACTCCTTTTATTCCATTATTCATCCAGATGAAGCGTAAGAGGGTAGGGGCAGGCCTGAGGGGCTCATCCAACCCCTTCCTGACAGCGAAGGACCTACTGAAGCAGGACACTGGGTCTTCTAACAAAGGGACAGAGAGCGGTGGATTTTACAACGACAGTTTAGGAGGTCCTGAAGAGACGAACACAGATGCATCTCTGGCTGTAACGTCATCCATCAGAGCCAGAGCAAGTGCCGTTGCTGCCTCCCTCAACAGCCCCACGAAGGGCGGCAGAGCCATGAGCAAGAAGCAGCAGAAGTTAGCGGAAGCGGCAAAGAGTTCCCGCAACATTTTCCAGTACTTTACGAAGAAGCAAACAACGGAGCAAAGCCGGAAGGAGGAAGCAGAGGAGGGACTTGATGTTACGTTGTCTCATGCTACCACAGTGGTCCCTGAAGATGACAGTAGCCAGCAGGAAGACTCCCCTGTCACTGTGGAGGCTGTACAGATCAGTCCTGTGGACTCAGAGATTGAGGAAGGGGTCCAAGAAGAAAGTAAAAAAGAAGTAATAATTATACCTGATGAAGAAGAGGGGGAAATCCATAAAACAGAGATGATGGAGCTTGAACGTGTGCAAGACACATCGAATGAGTCCACTACGGAGTAAGAAACCGTCAATGCAGCATTTTAGGATGGTGGAAAACTCTTGTTCTCTCAACTCTAACATTATTTTCTCTCTGACAGACCAAACAAACCAGAAGAAGAAGCTAAAGAACCCCTAACAGCTGGGGTAAGCGTCTGTTTCCTATATAATCTTCAAGACTTATTTCCTGCCCGGTGACTGATGGTATGTGTGTGTGTGTGTGTTTGTGTGTGTCCAGCTTACAGATATGAAAGTGGACAGAGAGTCTTCTCCTCCAGCGAAGCGCAGACGCCCTGCAGATGGCCGCAACCGAAGAGTAACCTTTAACCCCAACGTGCAGGAGAGGGCCCTGCACCCCGTTAATGAGCCGCCCAAGCCTGTGTCGCTGAAGGAGGCAGCTGACATTGTGGTCCGCTACCTGGACCCCTTTTACACTCAGGGAAAGTTCGCCACCAAGGTGAGCGGGGCGGATATCGTGTCACGTTTGCAGAAAAAGCAGTGTGAAAGTGAGGAATTCTCAGCTGTGGCTTTCTTTGGTTGTAGGAGCTGTTCAAGTCCTTCGCCCGCTACTTGTCTCACCTTCTTGCAGAGGGGAGGAGTCGGGGGAAAGGCCAAGGTAAGCGGAGAATTAAACACCTAAAACTTGTGCTTTGCCGCACACGGCTGACTCTAATGCTTGTCTCTGTGTCTGCAGTTAAAGTGGAAGCCAAGGCTCTCATCAAGAAGTTCTTCAGCACAGTCAAGCGCTGTGAGAGCGAGGCGGACTGGAAGCACCTTAAAAGATCGCACAGCTGTAAAACCACAGAGAACACTGAGTGACGGGAAGGGAAATGTAGCCATTTTAAGGGTCAGACCCTTCCTCTTTGTCAGTGCCTGAGCTTCCCTCGTCCCAGTGATCTCAGGCTTCGCCACAGACGCCTGCCGACCAGGTTCATGTTTAATTTGCTGCTAGAGTTCTGCTTTTCAGACTCGTTGCTGCTACAGTAACTTGTGTCAATAATTAAGCAATAACATGTGGACTGTTAAAGCCTGAGAGAGCAGAGGTAAAACTGTGCATACTAGTGTTCTTTATGTTTCAGCCCATTTACTGAGAAGTGTGTACACTTCACATTCATTCATTGGTGACCAAAGCATTTAAGTTACTCTCCTACAGGCAGCAATTGGTCTTTATTGATTTCACTACAGTTTTAAACTTTACTGGTGCTGCACTCATTTCTTTTCATCTCAGGCTGCACGTAAACCTAAAACATGTTCCAACTCTCTGCAAGTTGATTTTCATACTGAGATGAGATAAATGGAAATCAAAGACCTCTTGGAATAACCAAGACTATGACGCTATAGTCATGCTAACAGCTCTGTGAGGCAGTTACCGTGAGCTAAATGCTAACATCAGTATGTAACAAGTAACATGCTCGCAGTGACAATGCTAACGTGATGTTCAGCAGGTGTAACATTTATCAGGTGCACCATTTTAGCTTAGCGTGTTGGCATGCAAACATTTGCTAGTTGGCACTAAACACTAAAACGTACAGCTGAGGCTGATGGGAATGTCATCAGCGTTGCATGTGTTTGGTCATAAACGGTGTTGGACAGTATCGAATTTTGGCCTGACTGCCAGGTGACCAAGGTTAAGGGATCACCAAGGTTAGGTAGGGTAGGTAGGGTCCATCCTCTGGGGACCATTTACGTTCACAATCTATCTAATAGTTGACCAACCAACATACCAACGGACATTTCTATCCATGAAGCCGCACAGCACGGTTAGAAACGCACTGTGGAGATGGTTGAGAGTAACGTGAGGAATACATCGTTTGAAGTAAATGGGGATAAAACATTCAAAAACACTGGAATGATGTTTTAATATTTGACATAAACCAGTGTTGCTGGAACCTAATGGACTTTTTTTTTCTTTTTACTGCTGCTACATATGTTGTCTTTAGCTGCTGGACTGTGTTTTTTCTTTGGTGTTTGTGTTTTCTTTCATTTAAAACTAAGTTCAGTTTTGTCTTTGGTTTGTGTCTCTCTTTTGCAGAATGATGTTTTTCTGTTTGTTTTTTTAAGGTTGTGTTTTCCAATGAGGGAACGGTTCTTAGTATTAGTGCCTGTCGGGGCTGTGAAAGGCCACAGTTTCTGTCTCCACAGTGAAGAGGCGACCCAAAGAGTACTTGAAGCACTGATGGACACAGAGGTCAGGCTGTGCAGAGTCTGAAACAGCCGTAGTCTATCTTCTCTTTGCTCCTAAATGTTTACAATAAAGTCTGTGGTGAGTAGGAAGAGACCGGCCACAGTGTGAGACCTTTACTGTGTGTCCATGCATCATCACTACTGTCTTCAATCACTTCAACTTATTGGAGGGGAGGGAGGGGAGGAAGGGCAGGAAGGGGAGGAGGGGGAGGAGGGGAGGAGATGTCCGTGTCAGGGGACGCTGCCAAATACAAGGTGACGTCACCTCCAGTAGTGCTGCCTTCAGGTGCCCCTTGTAACTTTGAATTTCCCACATTCAGATACTGAAAAGGAAGGGTACAAAAAGATTACATTCATTGAGAACAACATGGAGAACAACATACTGATAAAATATACACCTTTGAACACAATATAAACTTACATCATAAGGGCCTTTAAATGAATCCGCCATTATTGTTTAATATTTAGGCCCTGTCTTAAATCCACGTGTAAAAATCTAGACTCATTATTTCAGTTTTGTGCTTCTTCTAGTCTAGGTTTTATAGAAGTCCTTTGGATGTATAAAACTTCACCATCACACCAAAGTCCACCAAATCACCCACGTAAGCTGTTAGGATCACCTACACAAATATAAATGTGTAAACTTTTCTCAATATGGATAATACAGATCATTAGCCTCCACAAATCAGTCAATTAATTTTACTGAAACCATGAGCAGCAAGGTATCACATGATCAAATGAATCATTTGTAATTGGTATGTTATTTGATAGCCTAATTTTTTTTACAAGTAATACTCTAAATAAACAATTTAATAGTATTTGACAAGAGGAACTGAACGGCTGTATTATATAGACGCCTGTTCCAAATAGTGAAATAAAATCCTGGGCTATTGATTGAAGTAAGGATCAATAGCCAACATTAAATTCAAATCTATTGCCATCCCCAATCAGGGATGATGTCCCCGCCCCTCCACAAAGAGTGAAAGAGTAAAGAGTGCCCACGTCTTACAAGCAGGATTTCCGACAGCACTTGAACGCAGCAGAGGCAGCAGCAGCAGCAGCAGTCAGTGAGCTGGAGCGGGCTGTCAACCTGCGTCTGCAGGGCCCCGCTGCGGCTGCACATCAGACACTGAGGAGACAGACATAAGACACACTGAGACTCATCCACCGGCTGTTTGTCTCACAGCTGCAGGTCTGAACGGCCTCATGTGGCTTCGTTCACCTCCGCAGGTGCCTTGAAGGAGCAGGTGCGCTGCCGGGAATTTATTTTGTGCCTTTAAGTAAATTGTCTCAAAGGGTTACACACTTGGCGAGGCTGCGCCGCTGTTGTTTGTTGTCACTTCCGGTCCGTGAATTAGCAGATCACGTCGCCGGTGAAGAAGAAGTTCATCAGCATCGATGCTTCGTGCAGGCAGGATGGAGGAGTTTGTCACGGAGGAAGAGGAGCCGTGGTACGATCACCGGGACCTGGAGCAAGGTGAGACATCATTGTTTCTCCTGTGTCATGTGTCAGGTTTGTGTGTGTGTGTGTGTGTGTGTGTGTGTGGGGGGGGGGAGGAGATCATACGATGTAACAATGCCCCATCCACAGCCACTGTATTCTGGGATGAAAGGATTCATGCAGGAGGGGGTGGATGGAAAGCAGGGAGGAGGTTGCATCCATTGTAAAACATTTCATGCCCAAGTGCGCGCACTAACTGTAAGCCCGTGTCTCTGTCTGTCTCTGCACCCGAGCCTGGATCTGCCCGCCCTTCATCTCTGCTCTCTCTCTCCCTCTGCCAATTATTATGATCTTGTCAGTGGTGTTTCCCAGAATAGTCCTGCTGTCTGACTGAGTCAATGTTGCCTCTGTTTCATCTTCCTCCTTTGCAGGGTTTACATCTTACAGCACTCCTCTCCTCCTATAGTGTCTCTCTCTTTTTAAATCAGATGCCCTGTATTCACTGTGCTGGGTGAGGGAGGACTGTGAGAGCACTGATCATCTAGGGGAGGTAGTGACATGCAAGTGTGTTTGAGGCAAAAAAAAAAAAAAGCAGAACCAAGACTGTAGAACAGTCCTAGACTCCATTCAGAGTCCCTAAAATGAGGCGAGAACATGGAACATGGGAGGCAAAAGCATTCAATCTATCAGAAGTGTTGTGTTGACTGATGCAGAGTGTGAACAGCCTCCTCTGTAATGTCTTAAATGGATGCACTTTCATCGACAGTGCATTTAAGAGGAGAGAGATGTGTGTCTGTCTGCAGCGCTGGCCTGAGCATCACCCCACCCCCTGATTACCTGCTGACCCAGAGAACTAAAGCAGCTTTTGTGTCTCATCATCGCATATAGTCAGAGAGGAGAGAGGCAGGTGGATCCTGCTGTGTGTGTGTGTGTGTGTGTGTGTGTGTACAGTACAGTGTGTCGCCACGCTGTCTGTATCTCATCTCAGCATTATTCAGCATGGAGCTTGAAGTCATTAAGCCCCTGGCTGATCTGATTAGGGCGCCCCAGACCAGCCCTCCTTAGTCGGGATCAGAGATTCCAGGCTTTGGGGTCAGATTTGAGGCATAGTTGCCGTCGGTGCTCGCTGCTCTAAACAAACATCATCCCTGCACGCATTCGTAGTCGTGCGTGATTTTTGCCCCAGAAAGGATGCTGTTATGCAACTTGGCGGCTGCCAGCTCTTGAGATTCGGTGACCCCTGTTCTCATTATGATCTGGCAAACATACAAAGTGTATCTGGGCAGATGGCATGGCGTGGTGATGGTCATGTTTTTGTGTTTTGTAGATTCACACATCAAAGAACATCACAGAGATGCATGTGCAGAGAGCAGAAACACATGAGCTAATGTACAAATTCCATACTGATGGTATTACATGGAAAGGCCTTTTGTGTTATTAGGCTTCTGGTAATTGGTATTTTCTCAACACAGCGCCTCATCCTCACACATAATTCTGAAATTACATAACTAATACTCGGCACGTGTCGGCCCTCAGGAGCAGAAACAGTGCTGTGACTGGGTTGGACCTCGGGGTGAAGCCTCGCTGTGCTCTCTCCTCACACACTCTCACTTAGCTCATTATCACTCTGCGGTTCAGACCAGTGTCGTGTGATCAGTTCTGCATTGTTGAGACAGGAAATTACAGCCTGTCTCCGTCTCCCTCGCAGTGCACAGTGTGAGCTAATGATCCTTGTTAATTATATTAGATTAAGCAGAGGGACTCTGCATTTGGGCATGCTAGATTGTGTATAGCAGTTTCCACATGGATGCATACAGATGGATCAGCTGTAAATCATTTCTAATCTCCTCCACCTAGGATGATGCATGCGTGTGTGTTCCTGTCATTGCTCGCGCCCTACGCTGTGGCGATAAAACACTGCATTCATGTCCAAGTAATGGATGTCAATGGCTCTCTGTTTCTTCCCCCGTCTTTCCACTCCCCCAGTGCTGTGTTGTTATGGGCTCCAAGTATGCAGAGCCAGCAGGATTCTCCTCCTCCTACTCAGTCCAGCTAGGTTTCTCTTCACCAGAGGAGATGAATAATGTATATGCTTCATGCTGGGTTGTAAAATATCAACAACTGTGAGGGTGGTTCCTGTGGTGTTGTCACTGCTCAGGCCCCCCCAGTGTGCAGGTGGCAACAGGTTTGTATAGATATGATCTGTGATAAAGCTGACTGAGCACAGTAGCAGCCATGATGAATGTGTTCAGAAGCTCTATGTGACAGTCCAGCACCAGTGAACTCCGGTGCACTCTCGCCACTTTCCACTGTTTACGTCTGTTCTTCTTTCTTGGCCCCCGTCAGACCTGCACTTGGCAGCCGAGCTCGGCAAGACTCTCCTGGAGCGCAACAAGGAGCTGGAGGACTCCCTGCAACACATGTACATCAACAATGAGGAGCAAGTACAAGAGATAGAGGTATGATTGTCCCACTTACTGTAACTTAATATAGAGTGCTTGTCCATGTCGGTGAAGAAATGCCCAGTGGAAAGACCTGGCACGGACTGTAGTTACAGATTGCAGCTTACTCGCTTCACCCTCCCATTCCTAGTGTGAATGAGAAACTATGGTGGCAGCGAAACATGAGAAAAAAAAGTGCCAACGGCCCTATCTAGAGCCAGTATTTGGTTTGTCCCTTCTGGGCTACTGTAGGAACATGGCGGTTCAACATGGCGTCCTCTGTGGAAGGCGACCCGCAGCATCTGTATATAAAAAAAGGCTCATTCTAAGTTAACAAACACGTACTGATCTTTATATCCAGGTGATTATACACTAATGAAAACATACTTGTGAATATTATATTCCACTAGACCTTCCTCAATGTTACACACGACGTTCCAACTATTAATAAAAGTATATTTTGGGTACAACTGAACTGTCAATGATTTTTAGGTTTTAGGTTGAGTTTGCATTTGTACTAATACCAACAACTAACCATTTAAACCATCTCTTAGCTGTTTCCTGTGTTTATCCATTACTTTAAGCTATTTTAAAAATGTATCAGAACTTGTAGCTAACTATTTTAATTCTTTATCCATTACTTTTACCTATTGCTACCAATTGTTTATTTATTTATTTATTTAGCTCTTTCAACCAGACATTTATCCGTGACTTTGAGCAACTGTAACCATTTATCTACTTTTAGCTAACGCTAATTATTTCAAACATTTATCTATTTGTTTTAGCTATTTATGTTTTACTTTCAGCTAACTATGTTAACTGTTTATCCATTTCCTCTATATACCTAACTGTTTCAACGGTTTATCTATTACTTTAAGCTACTACTGTAATCATTTACCCTTTTTCCTTTTAGCTATTTCCATTTATCTTTTACCTTTAGCTAACATTTTTAGCCATTGGTAATTATCCATCACTTTTAGCTATTTCAGTCATTACGAGCTATTTAATCATTTAGCCTTTTAGCAAAGTACTTCAACTAATCAGCTTTCTACTATTATATATACTGTCAATGTTTTTCACACATTCTTTATTGCAACACTTGGTGGTCAGGTGTTACAGCTCCCTCATGTTGAATATATATATATATATATATATATATATATATATAATAAGATTCAGATTTATTGTTGTTTCACATTGACATTTTTACATACCCCACTGAATCAGAGCAGTAGATGAACTACGGAAGATCTAACGAGTCAAAATGAGTTGATTTTAATATGAAACTTGTCTCCCTTGCAGTATCTGTCCAAGCAGTTGGAAATGTTGCGGGAGATGAACGAGCAGCACGCAAAGGTGTATGAACAGCTGGATGTGACTGCCAGAGAGCTGGAGATCACCAATGAGAAGCTGGTGCTGGAGAGCAAGGCCTCACAGCAGAAAATAGACAGGTGATCAACAGCTACGACTGTGTCTGAGACTTTCATGAATACCATCCTCTGCTTTCCTGTTGTGGACAGAGTGTACCAGAAACCATACTCTGTAGAAAAACATCTGTAACAAGGATGATCATCACATACCGTAGGTCTTTACAGGTTTCGTTTCTGAAGCCAAACAAGCATAAAGCAGCTAGAGACTGGTACATTTATCATAATGTAGTTTTTGTAATTTACATCGCTCCACATTTTTGCTGCAGTTACAACTTTTTGTGTTTTCACAGGCCATCTCCTCCACCTGAGAAAATATAGCACTGTACACTCTTGCTCTGTTTAGCAATTTCATAATTGTAATCAGGAATCAAAGTCCTTTACAAATCATATTAGTGGGCTGAAGTCTAAAAGTGGTTTTCAATGGCTGCTTTTGTTCTCTCTTAATCTGCTCCTTCAAATTCTTTGTTTTGAAACAGTGACTCACTGTGGCTTCACGAGAACGGTGTGCTGAGCAAAGAGAAAATATAATCACCATAATAATGACGTAACAAGCACTGAACAAACATTTGTGTGTGTGTGTTTGTGTATGTGCAGGTTGATGGGCACCATGGAGACCTTGCAGAGTCAGGTGGACAGTCTGACATCTCGGGTGGAGGAGCTGCGAACTCTGGAGGAGCTGAGGGTCCGCAGAGAGAAGAAGGAACGGCGCAAGACTGTCCACTCCTTCCCCTGCCTCAAAGAGCTGTGCACTGCGCCAAGGTCACTAACTGTTAGGGGTTTATTTTCTACCGCACAAAGAAAGTCACTCCCAGGACACATCCACACTCTGTAGTCAGGTCTTGTTGTCATTTAATCTTGTTCACACAGATTAGTATGTTGCTAATACTAGCTTTGTATAATATAGGTGAACTGGTTAGGAGGACATGCAGGTTGATTAAAGTGATTCTGCAGTAATTATCAGACTGCCCTACAAAGCCAAAACCCTTTTTACATCTTACCATAGAAATAATTAACATCAAATGTATCACTTTTGGGGGAAAACAACTTAAAAAAACAGGTAAAAAAAAACCAAAACACTGACTGCACTATGGCTAGTTGTGGATAGCTGGTGTAAAGCTAACTACTGTGACACTTCTGTTTGTCAGGTATGAGGATGGTTTCTTGCTGGCCAACCCGGGCAGCGTGGACCTCGCTGAAAGACGGCCAGGGGATGAGGAGAATGAGCGTCTGAGAAACATCGTCTCCTCCCTGCGCGCAGCCATGGCCACAGAGAGGTCCAAGAGGGAGGGCGCTGAGCGGGAGTGTGCCGCCGTGCTGCAGGAGTTTGAGCGTCTGGAACAGCGTCTCCTAGGAGCAGAGGGCTGCCAGATGCGGGTTCAGGAGCTCGAGGCTGAGCTCCAGGAGATGCAGCAGCTGAGGAAGTCCAGAATGTGTCTGATTGGGGGCATGGAAGACGGCCTAGAGATGTTGCTCAACAACGGCCCTGAGACGGACACCCCCGAGGAGGGCTTAGGGCTGGAAGAGGGAGGTGAAGGAGAGGCGGGGGGCGCGGGGCAGCAGGGGGGCCCAGTGAGGAAAAGCTGCAGCGACACAGCTCTGAATGCCATCTCAGCCCGCGATGCCTCAGGTAGGCGTCAGGGCAGCTACGCCCTCCATGCCAACGGAGTGCGCAAACGTGGCATGTCCATCCTGCGGGAAGTGGACGAGCAGTACCACGCCCTGCTGGAGAAGTACGAGGAGCTGCTGGGGAAGTGCCGGGGTCATGAGGAGAGCCTGTGCCACGCTGGGGTGCAGACTTCACGGCCCGTCTCCAGAGACCCCTCCATCAAAGAGTACAGCATGGTCTCTGCGGGACCTTCAACATCAGGGGCCGTCGCCACCCCTCCAACACCTCCTCAAACGCCCTCTACCCCGGAGGCCCTGGAGGGGCTCAGCAGGCAGGTGGAGCAAGTGGACAAACGGCTCAGCCAGAACACGCCGGAGTACAAGGCGCTGTTCAAAGAGATCTTCTCCCGCTTGCAGAAGACCAAGAGTGACATGAACTCCACCAAGAGCAGGAAGACTAACAAATGAGCCAGAGCTCATTCTAACAGCTACTGATACTACAGGCACTGAAAACACTAAACAAGATTTATTTGTCTTAATTTACCTCACTGTTTTGAAGGCTTCTTTGTTTTACTTTTGCCCACTCGTGAACTGATGGGTGGATGCCTGTAGCCATGGTGAGTCAGGTGATTAATGATGCATATTTTCAGCAGTGGTCACTCGCACCATTTGCTGCCAAATGTTACTGCCAAATGTTATACTTCACTACACGGATGAAAGATCGTTGATGTGGATGAAATGCTTTTCCTGAGTGACCGTAAACGACAAATAGAGAGGAAGGTTGTGTTTCTGTCCGAGGACAGTCTAGTGTGTGATGTAGTATTTGTAATTGATTGATTTAAGTATTGCCATTTATTCTTTATTTATGAAAAATAATGAATATTAAACAGAGGACAAAATCAGCCATTGGATTAACGATTTATGGCATTTGAAGCATGTATCTGTCTAATAAACACTAAGTGCTAAATTGTTCTTTAAAAGCAGGTAGAAACTAAATCACAAGGTTTTGACCAGCTTATTATTATTATCATATTTGACTGTGTGCAAATTTGAATTTGTCGGATTGTACAAATCCTTCAAGACGGCTGCCAAAGCTTACTGTGTATAAGTGTTTGATGGAGATTGGTTTACTTACATGGTTTATTGTAACTCATCTTGTGAAGGAGATGACACCTGAACAGATGGTGTTTTTACAGCATGCATTACAAGCTGCAGGGGAATGATCTGTGTTTCAGGGGGTTTGTTTGATCATTTCAGACATGACAACAATCAGTTCTGCACTGTGCTATCACACTGTCAAAGCTGTTCCTGTAATAGGCCATGTAAAATGTTTTCTGTTAATTAAAAAAAGCTATGTATTGACCATTTTCCTTTATTTTGTTAAGTGCTCAGGGAGGCTACAATTCAAATCCTTCAAGTTGAATACGAGCTGTGGGAGTATGAAAGAAACAAATCCAGGTAGTTTCTGTTTGGTTGAATAAAACAACCAGACACATGCAGGCCCAGTCTGAACACTTTAATGTGAACACAGGAGATCAGTAAACTGTAGGTAATACAAGTAGCACACATTGAGTCAAACCCAACCCACAGAGAGAAACATCAGTCCATGATACATGACAGCTGAATGAAGCTGTGGAGAACAGACTTCATCCACATACTTATGGAGTGTATTAAAAAAAAAGGAAAACACTTTTCAATGGCAGGATGTGTTACCCATCGATGTCTGGTTGGGGACTGATGTCTCTGTACTGGTTTAAAGTCAATTACAGACAACGTTTCACCTCACTGATGTTGCGCACAAAGTGCCGCCAAGTCAGCAGGAGCAGCATGTGGTTGTAAGAGACTGGAGGCACAGTCAGCATTGGTAATTTTTAAACTTAACGTGATAATGAGGTGAGCGTGTTTCGATTCATGAAGGAATATGGCCTCAGGGACTAGAGGACGCTGGGTGACAAAAAGCCGTTGAGACTCATATTCACACTTGTAAATGATCTAAAATAACCTAATTTTAATGATATTTAGAAAACTACAAGTACTGCAGTGAAATAGAGGTATGATCCAACAACATGTAATGGTTTTTTTTAATTATTTTTTTTTACAAATCATCAAACCTGAAATAAAGTTGTTAAAAGTCCGTAGTCCTGATGCCCTATCCTTCTATTACAAGTATTATTAAAACAGGCTCACATGATGGTCTGGCAAATATAATGTGAAGGCAAATGGCTCAACTGGGTTGTCTATTTCTTCCTAAGGGTTCTTGTTAAGGCCACATGGCTGCTAAATACACTGCCAAAATACCCTGATTAGGAGAGGAACAGCCACACCTAAAGTGGGGGGGGGGTCATACGGGTTTAGAGGTAATTCTCCCCCCCCTCATTCTCTCAGCAGACTTTGTAGGGCGCTAAACCATTTGAAAAGGAGGTGGCCTGAATTCCAAATAATTTACAGAGACCCTGGTACAAATAATCTGCACAAAGGCTTAAGGAGGGCTGCGTCCAAGAGTTGTGTCCAGCAATGATTGCTCAATGACCGCGGAGTGGCCACGTACATACAGCACTACTGCTTCCTGTACAATGCTTTCAAAGGCAGATCATGGTAATCGTACAAAAGAATCTGAAAAGAAGAGTGAAAAAGGGGGGAGAAAGTGGAAAAGGAGCAGAGGGAATCATACAGTTCATCACTTTTCTAAGAGCAGTTGACAGACAACATTGATTTATTTTTTTTACTTATTTTTCTTTTATAAACAAACCATAATCGCAAAATCTGGATCGTGCACAATGTTTGCTTTCTCCATTTCAAAGATTTAATACTTGACAGAAGGGTGGGTGCAAACAAATGAAGGGTCAATGGGAGGAATGATGAAGTGATTTAGATTTAAGAATTTAGAACGAGAAAGGGGAACTGTAAGAGCGAGTGTCAATGGACGGAGAGAGCAGAAGCTTAAATCAACACATAATCCAGAGATGGATCAGGACAGAAATAATGGAATGAAAGCAAGAAAAAGGGAAGAGGGACAAAGCAGAGGAAGACGTTGATGGCGAGGAGGAATCAATCTTTCCAGTCTTTCTTGATAGTGAGGCTCCACTCCCAGGAGAGATGGTCGTGTTTGTCGTCATCGGTGAACTTGGACTTGATGTTGTAGGTGCCGCGAGCCAGCATCCCTTTGGGTGCCTCCTCCAGGGTGGTCAGGAACTCGTATTCCTCCTTCGGTCTTGGCCCGTAGCTGCCCACCATGTAGTCTGACTTGTCGACTGTACACGAGAGAGGGAGATGAAAAGGAGTTGTAAAAAGCTTCTTGAAGATATCATGCACATCCTCAATTCCACATTCAGCCAAAGTGCATTTATACAGATTTTACATCAGCAGAAAAATGCTGGCTCATTAATGGCGTATTAGTGAGGGGAAATTCACCAAATGTAACAGGCCAGGTACGGTATGTTTCTACAGCCACTGAACATGTAGTTAGGTAGAGAAACATTAACCTATTCACTGCCTCAACAAACCTACACAGACAGTATGACCTGCAGGTTCATTAGGGGCCGTTTAGATGTCCAGTGTGTACGATGCAGTGGCATATAGCGATGAAGTTGCAGACTGACTTCTAGGCGTGTAGGGGGAAACTACGGGGGCCGTGAAACTCATGATAGGCCTCGTCTAAAGCCTGTGTTTGGTTTGTCTGTTCTGGGCTACTGAAGAAACATGGCAGCTAAACATAGCGAACCCGCTCCCTCTGGTAGACAGCTCAGTCTACCAAAAACACAGCGATTCCTATATTGAGGTAATTATACACTAATGGAAACATGACTATAAATATTATATTCCATTTCTGCCAACAGATCCTCCTAAATGTCACACTGGACCTTTAAAACTTAGTTCAACATTTAGGGAAAGACACTAAATGACTCTTGCAGAGAATTAGATAAGAAGACTGATAGCAGTCTCACACCTGTACAGTAAATATGTAGCTACAGCCGGCAAGCCATTTCTCCTGCTTCTACTCTTTAAGCTAAGATAAGCTAACTCACTGTAGCTTCATATATACTGTGCAGACATGAATGGTATTGATCTTCTCATCCAACTCATAGGAAGTCATATATCATATATTTACCACAAATATTAATTACGTTATCCCTTTAAGCCAGAGGGTGCTAATTTTCATTTCCATGTCAAAAATCCACCTAAGGGATGGCTGAGATGAAATCAAATCATTGTCTTACCCTTTACTCCTTTCCTGAATGTCTGCTGAGTGTACTTCAGGCCTGACACAATGTCCTTGTTGACCTGAAAAAAAAAAGGCAAAATGCATCATATCCTGCTGAACAGTTTCCCATGACAAAGATAGCTCACTACAGCTGCAGTAACATCTCCATGCCTCTAACAGTCTGACACAACAAACAGAGAGGTATCGTGGGATTGACAAAGGCCAGGCTCTCACCTTGAAGTTGATCTTTATTCTGTATTCGACTCCTTCCTTCAGCACAAAGGGGTTCTTCTTGAAGTTCTCCAAGTCTCCTGGCAGGGAAAGCAGCACAGCATGAAAGGTAAAGATCAGTTAGGAACAGCATGCAGTCTGAAACATATAAGCTGAGGGATAATGATTTCCAGAGAACGAGGAATTAACACTCAAGTGTAGTTGTATTTTGAGTTTCGACAGCCTGTAGTGATGATACTGACCACCAGGTGGCACAGTACATCAAGTTCTCCTGCTCCACTGCAGCTCAGTGTGACCACAGAGGGAGGGCAGGAGTGCCATCAGGAAATGGCTCATTAACCCACTTACACAGGAATCATGTCATTATTAATTAGCGGACTAATGACCCAGCAGGTCTGTTGGTCTATATTTGCACACAAGTATGGGAGTGATTACTGTTCATAATTAATGTTACTCTGAGTTCATTCTTCCAGTGTGTCTGCTGTGAGGAAAGACAGCTGCCTAAATATGGGCTTCTGTGCATTCTTTCAGGTGTAAACTACAAATTACCTGTTTTCACAAAAAAAAAAAAAAAAAAAACCTGTTTTACACCGCTGTGACTGCTCTACTCACCCGTCAGGTCAAGGACCAAGGGGATCGGGGCCGTCTCACACAACAGGGTCATTCGCGTCACCTCGACGTTTGGGGCGGTGGGATCTAAGACAGAGAGAAAGGTCACAGCATCCAACATTATGACCTTAAGATCAAGAGAATCCAAGTATCTCAACCATGCCAACGGTTTAGCTTTCAAACATTTAATAAAGTATGTTGCTGCTTATTTTCCACACATCTCACTACCTGCCTACTTTCCTCTAACTCTGAACCTTCTGAATACCGACTATCATCTACAAACCTCAGTGGGAAATGTGTGGCCCAAAGTCGCTATTAATAACACAGCTCTGTTGAACTCGAGGCAGTGGCCAGACCCCTTTCCCAGCTCTGAGATGTTTCTATGTGGGTCGGGATCTGATTTATCTTAAAGCAGCTACAAGGAACTTTCATCCTGTGTCGATTCGGTCGGAGTGTTTCCATTGGCTTGTTTCAAGGGGAATCTGACCAAATCCAACCTGGTGGCAGGGATTAAGACTAACAATACTGAAATAATGATGGGGGTTGGTTAATCTACTCTTCATCACAAAAGCAGATATTGCCAAAGACCTGATTCTGAGGAACTGGATACTGGTAGCAGAATATGTATAAAGTAAGAAACCTCCATATTCTAAACATTTTTATTTTTCTTGAGCATCTTCCAATGCTTTATGATCAATAAATGATCAGCTTTACTTTCCGTACTTAGACATGGTCTAATGTCTCGGTGCTGTTTTCGGTTCAGTCATTTAACCTGTCGGGGTGGATATTGTTGAAAGATTCTAAATATATAAGATATAAAAAACCTTTTGAAAAACGTTATTTTGCTGAGTATTACTACAAACTGTTTTTTTCAGTTTTACAAACACAATCACTCACTTGCTGTCTTAAACAAATGCCTGCCTAAGGGCTTTGCCTAAATAAAATTATAGTATAATACAAACAAAAATGACCTAATTCAGACATCTGATCAAGTAAAGAGTATGACCCTGAGTAAGTGAATTGTTTTCACAACAAATAACTGAGGTTTGTTTCCTGCACTATTGGTGGTGCAAACATAGAGCAGCTGTAATATTATGGACACAGATACATGCTCATTGCACCTTTGAGGACATAACTTAAAACAAGTAGGAGGGATTTTTTGTGTAAGTAAGTTTGCAGTGGTCTTTCCATTAGATGGCTATACTGGTGAATGAAATCAAAATGTCTTAGTGTGTTCTTGTCTATGTCTGAGGTTAGTTAATGGCAGAAACTACATGTATTTTAATTCTAGCAGACAATGAGACCATAGCTACTTAGTAGGGATCACTAACCAGCAACCACAGCAGCAGCAGCGCCGCCCAGCAGTGCTTCCTTGTACTTGCGCAGACTCTCGTCGTCTTTGTCCAGCTCCTGGATCTCCTGTAAGCTCTTCTGGGCAGGAGGTTTGTAGTTGACTTGGCCTTCATTCTCTTCGTTGGCTGCTGCAATCGCCGCCAGCTGCTCTGGTGTAGGTTCCTGCTCTGCCATGGTGTGCTAATCGCAGCAAGAAAGTGACAGCAGAGAGGACTGGTTAGAGGACAGGGAAATTAAGTAATAAGAACTGACGGCAGGAGTCCACACAACAGACTACTTCCCGTTTTACTCTTTACTTTGCTTTAATTAAATCTGACCTACATGTGGAGCGGGGTAGCACAAGGTTATTAGACATCCGGCTGCTGGATGATTATCACGGATTACTTATATAGAGGGAGACCTCGGTGAACTTTGACCTGAGGGCTCTTGCAATGTAAAGCAGAAACTGGATAAATAAATCCCATTGCTCCTCTTACGGTTTGCTTGCAGTCTCTTTTTCCTGATATTAACAGTGTTTATCTGCTGCAGTCTGGAGATACTGCCTGGAGCTGTATACTGCAGAGCGGAGCATAATGGAATTTGCTTCGCAGCGCTCAAAGTACGAAAACAGTTGAAACATTCGACAGTTAAAACTCTTTCCGGAGTCACAAGGTTATGGGTGGCGATCACACAGACCTTTTCTGTGCACAGGCAGAGCACAGATAGCAGGCTCACTCGACAACAAAAGATTTATCAGTATATTGAACCGTTTACAACAAGCTCTGTGTATCATAGACAACTTTACTTTGAGATACGGCAGTTTTATTGCGTTTTTGTCCCGTACACATAACCACACAGGTGAGTGCACAAACATTCCACACCAGCTGAGACGCGAGCCAGAACACGTGACCATCTGGCCCTCTCAGTCTACTTGGCTGTGGAACCGGTTTCTGACATACAGCAGAGGCTGGTGGTCTGAAAGCTGATGATTACCTGAGCCCCAGGCTTCTCCCTTCCACCCAAAAAAATCAGTGCTTCAGACTTCAGCAGTGCTAATGTGGCTATCTACGCCCGGCTGCACTGACATACCAGTCACTGCTGAAGTGATTCTGAGCAGCACAATAACAGTGCGATCATCTTCACTTTTAGAGAACACAGCGGTGCTTGAGGGATGCCACAAAACTCAATTTTTGCTCATAAAAAGAAAAAAAAAAGAACAAAGTTATCTTTTAATAGCATCTGGTGCACATATGCTGGCCACAGCTATACAAAGCTGATCAACACCTGCGAAAGCCAGGAGGCAGCTGGATGATGGAGCTCTGTTCTGTGTGGTCTGTTCTCCCAGTAGTCCTCAGGACGGACACACACACACACACCAAACACACACACACACACACACACACACACACACACACACACACACACACACACACACACACACAGTACTTTCCTGATACTGGCAAAAAAAATTGTTATTAGGAGAACTGATACTACTTAGGAGTCAAATAGGCAACAAAACAGAATTAGCTGTGGTCAAACTTAGTTTACTGAATATTCTAGTTGACCTCGTTTAACCACTGAAATAAAATTCTTCTTAATCCTCAGGCAAACACGCCCTCAAACTTCTCATCCTGAATGTTTTCGACATCATGTCATCACCAACTTCCTGTATTTGAGTAAATTCAACCAAGGTAATACACAACTGGCTTCTCCATTTAGGTCTAATTATACTAGACTTGCTGTAAAGTTACTGTAAATTACTCCTTCATATCTACGGGCTCAGTTTCATTTGCTGTTGCAAATCAGTGTTAACCTGGAAGGCATCGTAAATCAACACAGGCGAGCTAACAAATCAGCCAAGAGCAAACAAACAACACAACCACCAGGAGATTAACAAGTGCAACTGATGACATGCTAAACACAGGTGGATGCTCTCAGTAAGAACAGTACCCAAACACACAATTTACAATCTGGTTAACCATAATAAACCACACTAATGCACACGGAAACTCCACGTCACAACACAGGAACTGGTTTGTGTCCCTGCTCTCTGTTCTATTGTGTCTGCCATATATAGTTGGGTATTAGCCAAGCAGGAACCGAGAACGCAGCACTGTTTTACCAAATGGGGCCTGTGTGCGGCCATAAAAGCACAAATTCCTCGTCCGCCAATAGCGTGCTTTTTGACTGGTCAGCTGTGTGTGAGTGTTTCTGGTCAGAGAGAAAGAGTGAGAGGTTCCTTGCTGCGAGAGAGAGAGAGAGAGAGAGAGAGAGAGAGAGAGAGAGAGAGAAAGAGTGAGAGAGAGAGAGCGAGAGAGGTTCCTTGTTGCAGAGAGAGAGAGAGAGAGAGAGAGAGAGAGAGAGAGAGAGAGAGAGGGAGAAAGAGTGAGAGAGAGAGAGAGAGAGAAAGAGTGAGAGAGAGAGAAAGAGAGAAAGAGCGAGAGAGGTTCCTTGTTGCAAGAGAGAGAGAGAGAGAGAGAGAGAGAGAGAGAGAGAGACAGAGAGAGGGAGAAAGAGTGAGAGAGAGAGAGAGCGAGAGAGGTTCCTTGTTGCAGAGAGGGAGAGGGAGTGAGAGCGAGAGAAAGAGCGAGAGAGAGAACAAGACCATCAAATCGTTCTTCAAGTATCAACGAACAGGTTGTTCCTCTCACTTCCTCTATTGACTTCTTGTTGTGCAAGCCATCTCCTGCAGAAGGCTGCAGCGTACTCTGTGACAGTAAAGTGAAAATCTTCCAAAAAAAAGATTAAAAAGGTATAGGTATAGACACTGGCACTGGATGTAGCGGCATCTAAGCGGTGCCACTCAGGACCAACTACTGTGGCCACGAAACGTCCCTTTTGGGCTATTGTACAAATATGGTGGTTCAACATGGCAGATTCCATAAAAGGCAACCAGCAGCGTCTGTAGATCGGATCAACCATTCCTATATTCAAGTGATTATACACTAAAGAAATCATACTCACGCATGTTATATTCCATTCTGCATATATGTTACCTACGGGACCTTTAAGCTCTATGATGGGCGTTTTATAGTTCAATCAATAAGAAAAACAATCAGCAAATGAATCGATCATGAAAATAATCATTAGTTTCAGCCCTACTGGATTTAACTCTTAACTTTATATATACAATCACCTGATATTGGTGCAAGAGAGGCGTTTGTTTAAACAATAATTTTGGCTATTGAAGCTATATTTTAGAGTTTTTGCACTGCAGCTAGTGTTTAGACAACATTTAGAAATTTGAAGGTAAGCAAAATATCAAAGTATTGTTTTGGGATTAAAACTCATTTGTATGTCTCGTTAGTATTATAAAGAATTGTCAAATGATATCCATTCCTATTGAGGACAGAGTGGGTTACATTGATATTGAGTAACTTGGATGATCGGAAATATAACAATCAAAATAAATACAGAAAACTATATTCAAGTTTAAAAACTACAATGGAAAAACATTAAGAAGTTTTGAGGGAACTTTCTGAGATACTAACACTGGATTGACACATGCTGTATGTGCATCATTGCTTACTGTGCATCACTTAGTGCAGCTTCTCTGCACTCTTTCACTGTCAACAACATCATGTTGACCAACAGAAGGCATCAACAAATGAGGAAGAAATTGTTTATAAGGGCATATAACAGCCACATCACTCCGAGATACCATCTTACCCAAGTATGAAATTGTTCATTCAGCAAATTAAAGGCTCATGGGCTGAATAAAATGGATTAGTTAACAATATTGACTTCATCACCCTCCGAATGATGCACATTCTGTCTGGCAGACTCTGCTCAGACAATGCGGGCTGTGGCTAACTGGCTACATACTGCGCTGGCAGGAAAAGACCCTGTCATTGTTGAGCCTGCTGGGAGACAACACCTAGGCCGTGCAAACAAACACTGTTGAACCTCTTCACCTCTGTGTCCTAACCTCCACCTGCACTGTCCTGTATGCAGCTCTCTCCGACAGCAGGATAGGCTGTGTGCTTGACAGGGCTGAGCAGCACAGTTTCACAAACACAACAGACTTGGCAGCAGCTGAGGCTTCGGATTAGGTCGTTCCTTAGCAACACCGCAGAGTAGTCAGATTATAGAAAGTGGGATTACGCCTAATGAGGCATTCAGGGACAGGAGAGGGAAGTGTTTGGAGGTGTCATCAAGAGGATTCTCGACGGGAGTCATTAGTGTCATCGAAGCGTTGACGAAGATAATTGATCGGCGAGCTCAGTAAGGACCAGGGAATCCCTCTGGGATGATACAGGCTTTATGAAGTGGAGGACTGTGTGGGTGTTGGTGTGCTGGTCTTTTAGGCTGCATTATACTGAACTGTTGCAATATTGTGGCTCTGACTGACTTCTGTGAAAGTGAATATGTCAAAACATTAGTTGACTAACAATTACAATTACAAAACAGTTACAATTATGTGCCTTTATTGTCTTTTAAGTACTTTAGAGTTCTCCGTGTTTGAGTGCTGTTTGATGTAACATTAAGGGCTCTGTCTGGTGCCACTGAGCATACAGTGGGTGCTACATGTCTCTTCAAAGGAAGGAATACCAATGTGGCAAACCAAGAGCAAAAAGTAACCTAGCTTGTGCAATACTTTGATAAACTGGAAACCTTGAACGTAGCTCTACTCACTACCTTCACTACAAAGTATGCAGCTTCCATTCTCACGAGGGATAAATGTGTTATATCACGCAAATTGCGAATACTGGTATCACAAGAACACTTAAATTAGCCATGTTTTTTCCATGATAACGCAGGAGGCATCTGGCAGCCAGACTTCAGAAAAACATCTAACAGTGGTTTTGCAGTTCGACCGAAGCTGCTGCGGTCATGCACAGTAGAGCCACCTTTACTGATAACTTGAGAAGTAGATGTCTTACAGTTGATGACTGATAGTCTGAATTGCTGTTAGTAGGAACACAGAGACAAAAACAGGACATGAATGTTTTTCTTTTCCTTTTCGAGGTGACATTTAGCTCTTAGCTTCACCTACCTATTGAAGATGTCACCCACAGATCTATGGCTGCTTTGATCTCTGGTCTCTCTCTCATGCTATGCTCAGTCTGCCAGAGACCTTTGCATTTGTCCCTTTCATCCACATGATTTCTCTGCACTTCAGTGAATTCATGTCATGCTGCTTTATTTAAAGTGTATCAAGTATATGTGCAGCACTCGTTTTCCTTCAAAGAAAAATTGACTCCAATCAACATTTTGGCTGCACTGAACCTCCTCTGGTTGTTGTGAATAAATTATTTTGCCACAGTTAAAATGCAACTGGAGCTGCTGAAATAAGTTCATCCTCCAGTAATGTGTCAATGCAGCAACTCATATACAGCTTTATAAAGCAAGACAAACTCTTATGTGCACAGCAGCCATTTCTAACAATATTCCCACGGTGACCTTAGTGTTGATTTAGGTTTTAGCACATTAGCTGCAAATGCTGGATTTGTCAAAAAAAAATAAAAAAAAAAAAGTATTTACTAAAAAAATAAAACAATACAATTAATAACTGCACCAAATACAATATTAACCCCTTAGGACTAGGGCTGCACAAATAATCAATATATTAGGAAATTGCAATGTGGCCAATATGCAATATCCAAATTGCAGAAGCTGCTATTTTATTTTTCAAATGTGTCACAAAACAGCATTATAATGAAGTACTGTAGTGCTGCAGAGACGCCCCACCCTACAAAATCTCCCAGATGTAAGAAAAAATGTTTGGTTTGGTACGGACCCCAACAGATGTTACATCACCGTGATAATCATTATTTAATCCTTTTTTTTTTTCCAGTAAAAATTAAAATTTGTGAAAATTGTGATCCAAAAAGCCTCTCCCCCGCTAATCGTGACTCATATCACAGTATCTGTCAAAATAATCGCAATCTGAATATTTTTACCATATTGTGCAGCCCTACTTAGAGCACAACTGTGCATATCTGGATACCGCCATGCCTTTATACTTGATGATATAGTGACTAAGTAGCATGTCAAGCTGCCACCATGCCTTTTTTGTACAGACAAATCTACTGCAAACTTCCTTTTTCAGACGAGAGCTTCGAGAGCTTGATGATTCATATCCTTTAGGGCGCTAAACCGCACGCTGCAAAGCCAAAGCACAACTCATCTTCTTAACGTTTTACCTGCGAGACTAATCCAACCTACTCATTTTTTAAAGCATGATGTCATAATATTAATGCAAAAGGACACTGGCACTGGCTAGATGTTATCTCAGTAGATATAATCATGCTGTGTCCCACCAAGTTGAGGATGTAGTGCTACACATACCAAAGCTTTGAGGAAGTGTTACACAAAGAGCTCTGGGCAGACCTGGTGCAATACAGAGGAACCTAAACTCAACTGCAGTAGAGACGGGGGCGGGAATAAGACAGAAATGCAGGCTAGAAAACTTTTAATGAGTTTGTGTTAACTGATTAAGTGAAAAGCAACTGGCCCAAGTCAACATACAAGATAATGTTTGCAGGACGTCTATCAATTTTTTATATCAGTAGAGAAGACTAAACTGATAGCAAAAAAAAAAAAAATTGAGCCGAGGGAGGCGGCTGTGAGAGAAAAAGAAACAAAACATGGAGTCTATCCCAGGAAGAACCAGAACAAATAGGAAGCTTTAAAAATAGCCAATGAGAAATCCCTGCATGCAGCAGCAGGAAGCTGCGAGTGAATGGGAAAGCCAAGGTGCCAGCTGAAAGGTCAGGGCTTATTCCCCTGCTCTACAGGAGTTTCAGTGATAGTCCCAGATTCAGTTTGCCTCCCCGGGCAACAGCCTCAGAAGTGATGCAGAGTTACGGCTGTGCAATGGTTGGTTTCCTGCAAGGACGGCAACTATCTGATATTACAGGTGGTGCGAATGTGTTACATGCAAAACGACTGAGGGCTTAAAAATCAACGGGTTAAAAACTAAACTTCATATTAGCAACATTTCCCAGCACTGAAAATTATTTCTGAGAGGATGTGCTTCTGAAAGCTGCTGTTGAGGTTGAGGCTGAGGCTGAGGAAGGCCATGTTCAGGCTGAGGAGGACCACACAATGTGAGATCGAAAGGCCGATCATTACTAGCTCACACTGGTCTGTGTGTGGGGGCTGGCTAACATCCCCGCACCTATTCCCCTGTGAGACTGAGCAAAAACAGAGAGGGCCACTGACATGATTTGTCAGGGTAGGCCTACAAGGACATTTTACAGCGCATAAAAGGGTTTGGTTTCCACAGAAAGACTTAAAAAAAAAAAAAGCCTTCAACTGTACCGGCCCCCAAAATGATGGAATAGCATTAGTGCCGCAATAACAAGCAGATATTATTCAGAGTGTTCTATCAACTTGTCGCTTCAGACCCAGAGACAGGATGTACACCGAGCGAGTATGAGCCACATTTTACAGTTCAGGCCTGTGATTGTGAGCTCTTCACTCTTACTGTGAGCTGCTTTAACATGTTTGAAGCCTATTACACTGATGTCAGGTTAACACCTAGAATGAATACGCTACACAGTGTTCCTAATAGTTAATGTGTCCTCCTTAGGCCTACTTAAGATCAACCAGCCCCAACCCGGAGAAACAGAAACTGCATAATGAGACATCCGGTGTCTGCTGCAGGGCTGCACATTTACAGGTTAAGATGAAGCAAATGAACAGGCTGTGACAGAAATATATCATCTGAAACTTCTCCAAGTCCTAGATGGGAGAAAAAAAAAATCCTCCAGTCCATTTATATGTCTCTCTCTCTCTCTCTCTCTCTCTCTCACACACACACACACACACACACACACACACAGAGAGAGAGAGACAGAGAAAGGAAGGAAAGGGAGGCTTCGCGGTTTGGATGATCTCTTTGAGAAATCACTTTATCAGCCATTCAACTGAGCACACAGCAAAACAATCGCACAAAAAGCCCTGTCACTTGAAGCCCTTTAGGTCTGAGCTGATGTGATCTATGTGCACTTGACTGTGAAAGCCTTCAAAAACCAAGATGGTGGCTGCATTAAGGTGTGAGCCCTCCATGTCAATTCAAATTTAAGAGTTTCCAGGAAGTAGCAGAAAATGTTCCCCGATGTAACGTTAACACATGACAGTCGGCTCACACACACACACACACACACACACACACACACACACACACACACACACTTTAAAGCAGACTTTAAAAAAAAAAAGTCTCCTGCGTAAACTTTTGCCTCACCACTCAATGTGTACACTACAGTGAACAATTAAAAATGCAATGGCTGACATTATCGTTACCTAACGGCCGACCCTGGCAGCTCAGATCTCACTCAACACCCGGAAATGAACAACTAATGATCGCCTCCTAACTCCTCACTGCCGCCGGAAAACTTCACAATGACTGAGCCCAAAAACTTGCTAACTACACCACAGCAGCACGGACGTGTATGCTTACCGTCTAAAACGAGTTATCAGAGGAGTTTACAAGTGTTTGGCCAACTCGTACCCGTTATACCGCTGGTAGGCTGGGACGGTGTCCTGTGAATGGTGATGAGAGAGAGTGAAGTGAAGCGGAGCAGGAAAATCTGAGCCAACGTCCGCTAACGGACCGCACGACGTCCGGTGCCCTGCCTTCAAAATAAAAGCAGGGTGTACGTGGATGACGGAAAAAGGCACCGTAATAATAAAGTAGATTGTTTTTTTTAAAAATGATATCAAATGTGTATTTTCGTGTTCCAGTACATATTTTTTTGACGATAAGTCCCCGTTTTAAAGCACCGGGTCACAACTTCCAAACCTTATTCAAGTTAATTTGGGACAATCGTTAAACAATCGACATTTATTGAAGTACAACTGTGGAGTTCTTTACCTTAATATTTCCATTTTATATTACTTTATACTTCGAGAAACAACTGTACTTTTTACTCCATACATCCGTCTACATTTCCCATCTATGTATGATGACTGGTTATTTACAGATTAAGCATTTACATTCAAAACATGTGATTATTTGGCATTGATATAGATTAAACAGTATATAAAATGAGCGTCACCTTGATCAGTTGCAATGTTAAAGTTCTTCTCGCATGTTAATGCATCAATAATTAGAATACCCTCATGTGAAACATATATAACAGGTTGATAGTGGGCTTTATGCATAGAGATCACTCACTTACCACAAGTATAATGATAATTATGAAGACTAGGTTTTACTAAAAAAGTTGAAGTACTACTTTTTATTCTAATATTTTATTAAAAAGTATTTAGTTAGAGTATTTTACATTGTGGTTTTACTACTTTTACTGGAGTAAAGATCTGATTACTGTTTCGACCACTGACAAAATATAAACAGGGCAATATACTGTCAGCTGTTCCAGTTATTTTACACACAAAGAAAAAAAGGGGAAAAAAGAAAACATATTTGCTTTAATCATGAAAACCAAACCGGAAACAGCGTTTGTTAAAATGTAAACTTTTTCTAGAGACACGCGTGGGCATGTAGATCTGTAGTGCACACTCCCAACTCTTGCTTTCAGAGGTCCGGACATTTTTTACACTTTGTTCGCTGCACTTTTACCTCAGTTGTATCCAATGTTTGAGCTCACAGCCCCCTGCAGACGTAATGCACACTTCACTTTATATCATAGGCGTGGCAAACTACGGAAGCGTATTACATTCACTAGAAAAAAATCCCAATTAACGAATTATTATGTCATGGTTATGAGTTACGGTTGATGTTTTTAATTATCCTGCTCTGTTTTCTGAAGTGTGTGGACACGAAAAGACAGCCGAGAACAGGCACTGCTGTGGACACGGACCTCAGCGATCTCCCTCCGGTTCCGGTACCGGTACCAGGGGCTGAAGGACAGAATTAACCCCTGCATGCCTGCATGGGCCCGCGGCAATTCGCTCGAGGCCGGATACAGGATTTGGGTTAGGCTCGTGGGGATGAATGTTTCTTTTGGCATGAAATCATAATTATGATATAAGAAGTTAAATAAGAAAAACAAAGTAATTTGTTTTGGGAAGTGAATGCAATGCGCTTCCGTCGCAGGCAAGCACTAGAAAGTACATTTAAAAAACTAATTATATATATACATATATATATATATAAATAAATATATATAAATATATATAATATATATAGTGTATGGCCTGTACATGGTAGACAAAGAGCAGGACGACATCTAGTGGCTGTGGCGTGAACAAGCATGACCTGTGACAATGACACTGCTCAGGTTGCTCCGTTTATTTTGCAGCCATTTATATCCCATCAACTCTAACAATTACCATTCATTTAGCAGCTCTTTCAGTCTGTTCTCAAAAAACTTCTTACTTATGATACATTTGTGGATGTTTAATAGCACTTAATTGGCTCAATTATATTTCATTTGTTGTTTGAGAAATCTGAACCTACATTGGTTTCAGTACATTTACATCTGTCCAGAATGAGTCATTGTGAGTTTGCACATAGTAACATGTACTAAAATAAATCATACATTGCAAATGTTTATTCCAAAAGATCAGAAATCCCATCAGGCAATTGTAAAATCCTTGACATCGAGACACAGCTCAAGACCTAAGCTAAACAGGGAGACTTTGTGCCTTTGGTTACTAACTAAGAATAAAAACAAGACATTCTTCGTAAAGTTGTAAAAGTAGTATAAAACTGCACGGCCAACAGACACATGGATATAGAAGCAGAGAGAGTCAATATTTGGTTAATATGCACTGCAGGTTTATTACAAGTTCCATTAACTACAGGGTAGAGGAAAGAACTGGGAGAACCCAATTCACATTTACCTACAGCCAAAACCATTTTCATCAGAAAAGGGGAAAAAAAAAAAATACTGGTAAAAAACACTTCGGAGCATTTAAAAGAAGAGGTTGGAACAATAATTTCAATCACATCAGAAGACAACCAAGTGTAAAATATTCTGCACATTTGTAACAACCACCCTTCTGTGCAGACAGGAAGGGACGACAACACGGAACAGCTTCATTTCTTAGCTGGTGTCCATCTGAGAAAACAAAACAAGAATGAAATTAGACAGCTAAAATAACAACAATTTGTTAATTTATAACAGGCACTGAATGGACAGCTGAACATACCCTGGCATTGTAGGCATCTAACTGGGCGTCGAGTTCCTCTGCTGACAACTGCTGCTTGCTAGTACCGCCTCCTCCCCGACCACCTCGACCCCTTCCTCTGGCACCACCTGCACCACGTCCTCCTCTTCCTCTCTGCATGGCCCCGAAGCCACCCCCACGATTTCTGTTCATGCCTCCACCGCCTCTATTCAGACTGAAAAACAAACAACGCCCATCACACAGTGTCCACAATGTCTGCGAGTCACGTTTTCTTGAACAAAAGACGGCTACACTCACCCTTGCATAGGTCGCCTCTGTGTGTCAATCTGTGATGTGACGAGCTGTATGTTCATAGGCCGCCCTAGAGACAAAAAAAATATATATATATATATATATAAACAAACCTCACAAATCTGACAAGTAACTTGACAGAAAATTAATGGTCTTTAAGTTATTGTTAATGTTTTATATATGATTCAAGTTTAAGACATACCATCAAGTGGGATGCCATTGTATTGCTTCATGGCCTTGAGGGCATCTGCCCTCCTTTCAAAGTGGACGTCTGCGGTGCCCAGGCTTCTTCCTGACCGGTCATAATGAACTGCAGCCTTTTTCAGAGTCCCAAATTCAGCAAAAAGTTCCTGGGCAGAGGAAAGTAAAAACGTTAGTAGCCATCACTTTTGACATACCCTGTTTAGCAAGCCAGGACAAACATGCTGCACCAACAAAAACAAATGAGTACCGTGAAAATTCAAAATACCTGAATGTCTGCATCTGAGACGCCAAAGTCGAGATTGGAGACGAGGAGCTTCCCTCCAGTTTCCACACCAGCTCCGCCGCCACCGCCAGCAGCACCATTGAAGCCGCTGAAGCCGTTGTCAAACATGTCATGCTGCCACTTATCTGGAAGCTGTTTAGGCTGCAACAGACGAAAGAGAACGCACCTGCTGACTTCAGGATCCCCTTGCCTCTGTCAATCACAGAGTCCACACGGCTGGGTGTTGGGGCAAGCAGGGGCTCCACTTCCAACATGGCCAGGGTGCTCAACTCCCCCCAAGAGGGTCCCCAAAGTTCCCTGCCCACCCCATCACTACAAGCAAGTGAATCAGTTCAGACAGAAGGACATACACAGGACAAACAACTTAACTATAAGAGCAAGGGGATGTGTTGTATAGCACCTCTAAACATAATGTACATCATTTCAAACATTATGAGGTCTAGAAGCATCTACTGAGACTGTATATATTTATCTAATGAATCAAATTTGAGCACTTTATTATCCCAAACCCACCCATAAACTCTATACTATCCCCTGAACAACTTGACCACCCCGGCTAGCTACCAACATTGCCCATTGTTCTCTTGCCATCTGCGCCTCCACCAAAGGCTCTCCAGATACGCTCCTCGGGTACACAGGGGTCGCCATCTGAAGCAGCGTTGCCTCCAGCGTTGCACCATGTTTCCCGGCCCGCACAAAAGTTCTTTACCAAGCCACGATAGGGCTTTCGTGAAGGGGAAAGTGTCCATAGGATGAGGTGGATCAGAAAACTACTAAGGCCAGCAACCCCTTCTAAGGGAGCGTGGATTATTTGAGCGTCCATTTTGAGACCACGCCATTTTGATTGGGGCTTCGCTGGGTTTGTCTAAATACTCATTCACACTTAAGTAGTGACGATTAGCCTTATATGAAAACTATCGGGGGGAAGGGGGAGGGGGGGTTGAAGTCCACTGATCCATCCGCAAGTAACAGCCCCACTGGTTGAAATGCCACCAAACAGGCCTTGTTGTGAACCCCGCCAGCCACTCCCGAACAAAAGGCCGCCTGGTCGCTGCACCGGGACACTATGCTCCCAAAAGTGGTGGAGAAAAAAAAATCATTTGCGGATGAAATTTCTCGTTGAAGTGGTTTCCTCACACCATCATTTTGACACTTGTGCTGGAAAGCGCCGTTACTGACCGTGGGCGACTATCTCTAATTTAAGCAGCTTGATTCAAAATGGCGCCGCCGAGGCCTTCACGATCCAACTTTAGCTAGTTAGCCACTATGGCTAACATATTCGCTCTCTCCAAAAGGCCTCTTCTTGGAAAACAACATATGGGTTGTGGGAGAAGGGACACACTATGCATACAACTTCCATTAATGCTTAACCGCAAACCATAGAGCCTTCCTACGTGGGGAAACTCTGCGGTTACAGCAATCATTTTATTCGCTTGACTAGCACACTGGCTAGAGGGTTAGCTAGCAAGCCTACTGGAGAATAGAAGGATGTTACCCAGGCATTTTCAGGTCTGCCGAAGGTTTTTTTTTTCCTTTTTCTGCTCATTCCTCTAATTTTCTCATACCCTGCTGTAAGGCGTTGGTCTGCCTCTACCGCGGTTCAGGTTCTGTCGGCTCCTCATGGGGCCGGATCCGCCGCCTCGGCCTCCAAATCCTCCGCCGCTGGCTCCAAGACGCCCAGCGCCTCCTCCTCCTCCTCCTCCTCGGCCGCCGGAGCCTCCGCGGCCTCGACCTCTTCCTCCCCGGCC